AGTGTATCTTCTGAACAGTTTATGTACTGTAGAAAGTAATCACTGCGGTGATTAAGGGGGAGTGAGAGGGTCCTCATATCTAGGATTGGATCTTAGGTAAAAGTGTCATTGGGTAGTGATTAAGTGAGAAGGCTGTCAACGGGTGTGTTGGCTGTAGGGTCTTTGAATTGATACTACTAATAGTGAACTTTATCCCTGGCTTGGAAGCCTCCAGATGTAGGTTGGTTGAACCGAACTGGGTGAACAATTCTGTGTGTTATTTACTTTCTGCATTGGTTATTTATTTGATGTCACAGCATTCTTCATGACATCAATGTATATGATTAACCTTAATTGTTCTGAACTTCAGTAAATTAGAACCTGCGTTTGTCAAAGGTGTTGCAGGTTCTGGTATGATAGTTCAGTGTCTGTTGAAGAACAGATATGAAAAGTACAGCTTATTCTACCTGTACAGCGCTTAATGTCAGATCAGATGTCTTAACATTCCATTAGACATCCTGAGTCTGTGACATACCAGGAATTTCATACATTACATTCATAAAAGAAATAAAAGTAAACGTGCGAAAAGAAATAAGAATCGAGAGCGTGAGGGCGTTGGACCCTTTAAAGAAATTAAATTAAAATTACAAATTAATTAATGATGGAATAAAGAAAAGAAATTATTTTTTTATGTTTTTTTTTGTATTTATGAAATTAAGGAGAATTAAATTGGAATTAAAAGTTAAATAAAACCCTAGTTCTAAATTGTTTTTAATTTATTAAAGAAAAATGTTTAAGTTTGACCTAATTTAACCCTAATTATTTAATATACATATTTATTTACAAAATAATTAATGGTTCATAATAATAAGAATAAAAATTATTTATTGAGAAAAAAAAAGGAATGAAAATGCTAAACCTAATTTTTATGTATTTTATTTATTTAAGAAGAAAAACATTAAAATTAAATTAATTTGGTTATTGCAATTTATTTACAAAAATTGTTAATGAACTAAATAAAACATATTTTTTTTATTTTATGATTTCTGATTTTTTTTGTATTTTTGTATTATTAAAATTAATTTAAGGAATTAAAAGAAAATAATTAAGTTAAAACAAATAAAAAAAATAGAAAAAGAAATAAGGGAAAGAAATACAAACAAGAGGGGTTGCTGACCCAATTGTGGAGGTTTGTAGAAATCAATTAGGCCCAACAGATTCAAGGCCTGTTGACTTTTTCCAGCGCGTGTATGGCATGGTTGACTAGCGTCCATGGTGATCTGCAAATTCTGACCTTTGGATTGGGGCCCCTGGCCACTTGGCAGGCACAAGCGTTGGGGAGTTTGGTGGACCACTGGAAGGAATCACACTTGAATGCATATTGAACAAAATTATGAAGAATATGGGGGACCTGGGAATCGAACCCAGGTCCCAATGTTTGCATGACAACACACCTTCCACTCAGCCAAGCGCGTTTATCTGATATTATAGTGAGCAATGAATATTATGTGTGAAAAACAAGTGTTAGTGGACAAATAAAAAAAAGGGCGCCAGTTATTCAAACTGGCCAATCATCAATCAACACGCTAGCATCTTCTTCTCCCTTCTTCGTTTTTGCCTGAAATTACAGAGTAGATAGCGGGGGTTTTAAACCCCCACTAAATGGTACCTACAAAAATAGCGAATAGAGCACCGTTGATCATAAATTGAGCGCGAGGTGGTCAATCGTTTCGTCCAGATGCCCTGGTTTCGATAGTACTAGTCTGGTTGTCCAATTTTTCCTCAAGCGTAAAACCCTAATTCAAGGTTCCTGAAACCCTAAAAAATGTCCATGGCAATTTTCTATACAAGCAAGATTAGTTCAATTCAATGGCACCATTAGCTTCAGTATGATCATATTAGTATAAAACAATAATGAAAATGCATGAACAAGGCCTGGAAATCAAAACACGATTATTCAATATTTCAAGAAAAGTTTGATTTTGTTATACCGATTCTGGATGTGTGGGGCTTGGAAAGGTGTTGAATCACGTTCAGGAAAGTCCCAGCAATTGTTTGGAATCCTTTTTAGGCCTTGAAAGGAGCTCTATGTATGTTTTCAGTTTTGAGAATTTTGTGAAAAGATGCAAAGTTGTTTTGTGTTCTTGGGCGCAGCTTGCTTGTGTTTTTGATTAGGGTTATGTTCCTGCTTATATGTGGAGTGAATTAGGTTTACAAAACAAGTCCAAAATCCATGTTTAAATGCTTTTCAAATTTGTGATTTTCCATAATCTTTTTCAATCTTTTTTTCATCAAAACATTTCCAATCATTGAAGATTCTTGCCTTTTTTGAGTATGCACGAAATATTGAGGCTTTAATGAGAGAATATGATGCACAAAAGGATTGGAAAACATGATTTGCTATTTTTGTCATATTTTATTTTAATTAAATGAATTAATAATAATAATAATTCAAATAATTAATCAAAAAATGATAAAATAACTCCCTTGGATGTCAATGGGTCGTGCATAGCTTTTGGGTGATGATTCTTGGAAGAAATTGTGGCCCATTAGCAATTTTGAGGCATTTGAAGCAAATTTGACTTTTCAAAATTCCCAAAAATTTCCCAACTTCCACAAGGCATATCTTGCTCAATTTTTAAGCTTTGATCATGTTCTTGGACATTTTGGAAAGGTCTTGAAGTCCTCTAACCAATTACTTTGGTCCCATGTCATTTTGACTTACCAATATCAAGTTATGGTCTTTGACTTAAAGTGCCTTTTTGTTGACTTTTGAAAATGACCTATAATGTTGAGATTGATAACTATTTGTGAGAGCATTTCTTGGACTTGAAGTGTGAAGACGAGTTGTAGGAAATGTTATTCTCTTCAAAATGAGCTTTGGATGGAATTTTTCTGATAAACCATGTGGAAGTTATGCCTTGGTCAATTTGCAGTTGACTTTTTCAGCTGTCCAAAAATAGAAACTTTTGCATCTTGAGACTTTTTGAGCCATGCCTTGAGAATCATGATCAAGAATTGATCAAATGATGTTTGTGGTTTCAAAATAAGATGTTGACCAAAAATTTTGACTTTTGACTGTCAAATGACCATTTTGCCCCTACAGTTGACTGTGAAGCAATTAGGGTTTTTGACTGTGCAATTTTGTGTTGTAAGTCTTGAAACTTGGCATAAGGATGCTTGACAATGTTTATAAGTATGTGGGACTTGTTTGGACCCTTGGAAACTTCAACTTCTTTGCCAGAACCAAAACCCTAATTTTGACTGTTAGGAGGCCATTGGACTGTGCAACCCTTGGGAGATTTTGAAGCATGCTCTTGGCAAATCTTGAAGAATATGGGAGGGCAAATTTTGGGGTACAACATTTCTCCATTGTTTAGGAAGTGAAACAATGCCTTACATTGTCAGCTAAGTCTTACTATTAAAAAGCATACGTCAACAAAATTTGATTATTTGGTTTTCGTCATTCTCCCTCGAAGTTTGTTAAAGTTGTGTAATGGAAGATAGAAAAAAGAGTGAAAATGGAAAGTCGTTGATTATTTGTTGAAAGTGATAGAAGAATGGATACAAATGGATCAATTTCAAAAACATGCATGGTTATTTATTCGAATTACTTAATCAAAAGATAAAAAGTTACACCAAATACAACTTAGTAACTTGGAAATTACAAATTGAAGTTTATAAGTATGATGATCGTGTGGAAGAGCCCCCTTTTTTTATCCACTTGACTTTAGGAGATGCTTCTTAGTTCTTGGACTTGTCAGAGCATGAGGGTGACCCTTGACTTTTCTTGGGCATACCTATTTCGTGAGGGCACTTCTCTTGTTGATACCGTTGCTTTTGAATCACCAATGATATAGTTGCATCTGAGGCGTTGTGTAGGCCTGTATAGTGAAAGGTTACCTTATCTTTCCAATACGACTTATAGGACCAAGCTCCATTGAGTACCCAATAAATAATCTCCTTCTTTCACAGTTTCATACTTTCTTAAGTTCGTTTGCGAGTACCAAGAAATCAACTAGCATATGGATGATAGTTGGATAAGGACGGAGGTGGAAATGCATGAAATGCAAATGTATGAATGTATGTAAGTGCCTGGGTATGCAAAAATATTTTGTTTTTAAGGGTATGCTAAAAATTTCATGGAGATGCAATGCGACGTGAATGTAGTATGAAGGTAAACACGAGGGTACCCTTTACGGGTTTAATGATAAACATGGAAATGGAGATACCCTATACTGACTCAGAGATTGAGACATACAGGAACTCCTTAAGAATTATGGACCTATACTGACTCAGAGATTGAGACATATAGGAACTCCTTGAGGGTTATGGGCAATGAAAAATGAAGAGGAATCCCTACAAGCTAAGGATTATACCGAGGGACGGGAATTCCTACATGCTAGAAATTATGATAGACCAACTGACGGTTGAGATGAAGGTTGGACTTGAGGGAATAACATGGAAGAGAGCACACGGTGTCCGGTCAACAGTCACCAAATCCCATGGCCTGATATAGGCCACATGGCGTGCATTAGCAAGGACGTCTTTCGTGAGAAAGTTTCATATGGAGGTCAAGATACTAAGGTTCTAAGGACAGTGACGGAGAAAAGGGGATCCCTACATGCCAGGGATTAAGATTTTCTAAAGAAAATACCTACTAGCTAGGAGTTATATCATAAAAAGACAGAAGCCCTACGAACTAAAGATAGTAGTGGAAGAAAAGATAACTAATACGAGTTTAGAGATTATAGTGATATTTGTGAAAGGTATACTTAGTTGATAGGTTCCTAGTATCTAAAGGATAATTAAATCCTCTTATCTATTTTCCAGTAGACCACACGCTCAACTTTTGAAAAAAAAATCAATTTTCTTCTCAATTTACCTATTTATTCCTTCCTCTTGCTTCTTCTTTATCCTGTTTTTGCTTATTTAATAAGGAAATAAATATATATACTAATAAAACCGAAGTCATTCATTTCTCTCTGTCATTTCCATTTTTTCTGAGTACACTACAATTATCATTTCTCTATCATTAAAAAAAACTCAAAAGAAAATTCACTTTGAACCACAACATTACTCCTCCAATGAAATAAAATCATAACCAAAAGAGAAACAAAATAAAACCCAAAAAGCGTGTTTAGTGACGAGATATGATCCTGGAGGCAAAAGGAGGTTGTCGCAGCCAGAGAGATCATCTCGGAGACACCATCAGGGTCGTGATGGATGTCTGGTTGCGCGTTAATGGAGGCGCGGCTCGAGGTGAGTATGTGATTTGTGCGGTGGTTCATCGGATCTACAAGGAGGCTGGGCAAGCGAAGGGTGAGTCAAATCTGCGGCATTTTTGACGCTGTAGTTTCTGGATTTGACAATTTTTTTTTGCTTTCTTCGATTCTGTTTTCTTTTCCGATTTGATTCTTGCTTTCGAATCTGTTGTTGTAGTTGCAAACAAATGTTGTTTGTTTGGATTTGTGTCAAATTCGTATTATGGTGTTGATGGTCTTATTTCTTTTTCTCTGTTTGATTCACTTTTGTTTTCAAAGTTGTGTATTGTTGGGATGTTGTAAGTGATTTGAATGGAGGCAGATAGGAATTTCTGCATGGTGGTGTGGGCAGTTGAGATCGGCGGCAGCGGTTGTCTTTGGTCTATTGAAGGAAACTATTGACGATGATCGAAATCCAGTAGCGGCGTGAAGTTCTTATGTTCTGCAATTCTTTTTTTCTTTGTTAGCATAATAAGAGTATACATAATTACAATCACTTCAATGACTAAAAAATAGGAATATTATTAATGAGGAAAAGTAAAACTGGATATCATTAGGTTAATTAAACTAAAAAAGTTTAAACATAAACAACCTAACTAGACTTAACACCCAAACCAAGACATCGACCAAACTTTAATGGAATAGATTCTTATATATAGAAAGGTTGTGTGTCTGAGAAAATAAAGATTTATTTGTGAGATGTTAGTGCATGGAAGTTAGAATGTTAGTAAAGAATTTTTAGTATTAACAAAAGGCATAGATTTTAAAGACAGAACTATCGGCATAACATCGTCATATGGTAGAAAAACTAATCGATTTAAAATTAAAAGAAATTAGAAGTAAAAAAGGGTTGAAAATATCAGTGTAAATTAGAACAACAATGAGTCCTATTTATAGAGTGAAATTAGGTTAAAAATACTTAGCAAGTCAGTCAACCCAAAAACCAAGAGAAGCTCAAAGCCTGATTTCCCAAAAAGAAAAGAAAATTAGTAACAAAAGCCTGATTTCCCAAAAAGAAAAGAAAATTAGTAACAAAAAAACAGAAAAATAAAAAATGCCTCACAAGGGGTTCAAACCCGCGACCTCGTACTTGTAAGCTTCATTGATTACCAATTATGCTACCTTTCTTATTCAAAATAAAAATGCTTTTGAAAGCATACGAAGGTCAAACCAAAATTTATTTAAAAAATACAAATGATCTGAAATAAATCATTATATTTTTAAATAGGTTTGGAAGCAAATATTTATAAAGATCAAAGAATATTATAAAACCAATGTTGAAAATATTTTCGACCGTAGAAATAAATAGCGGTCAAATTTAGGGTATGAGAGTCAGAAGGAAGTGCATCAGAAGCTGAGTACAACTTAAAAGAGGTATTTTCTAACATCTCTCATGCTAATCTTGAATAAGTTTTATCTAGCTATTTAAGTAAATATCAGAAGCTCAAATAAAAATCAAAGAATCTTGAAAAAATTCATGAATATAAAGTTTAAAAAATGAGAAGTTGAAATAAGAATTTTTTGAACAGAAAGATGATCATTTCATCTTAGAAAGAGTAAATAATTTTCAGAGTTAAAAATGCTTAGAACTAGAAGAAACTCTTTCAAAAGCTCCACCACCTTCTGATACTATTTTATACAAGCTTGACAAAGTTTTTCAAAGATTTCTAGACAATAACCTGGGTTAAAGTAAAATGGCTTCCATGATCAATGGTATTGGCCATTACGGAAAAAGAGAAATTGGTTATAATCCTTATGAGGATAAAATTTTCACCTAAAGAAAAAAAATCTCCATTTTCTTATATGTATCCACCTGCACAAACACAAATAGTTAGCAATGCACAAAAATCCAAAGTTGTTAAACACTATGGGAAAACTAATTCTAGAGGACTTAAAAGATTATGGGTACCAAAAGATAAAATAGTGTATGTTGCAGATATGTGACACAACGGAGCTAAGAAACCAGTCATGGTACCTGGACTCTAGATGCTCGCGACACATTACGGGAAGCAAGCATATGTTTCAAAGCCTGGAACTTAAAGATGTTGGTTACATATGGTTTAGAGGAGATTAGAAAGGAAAGATAAATGGATCTGGAACTATCGGTAATGGAACTCTTCCCTCTATTTCTAATGTACTCTACATTGAAGGTCTAACGCGTAATCTGCTATCAATAAGTCAATTAAGTGATAACGGTTATGACATTGTTTTTAATCAGAAGTCTTATAAGGTTGTCAATCAGAAAGATGGCATTGTTCTCTTCACTGGAAAGAGGAAAAACAACATTTACAAAATAAAATTGTCTTATCTTAATAACCAAGATGTAAAATGCTTAATGTCAATTAACGATGAGCAGTAGATATGACATAAACGCTTGGGTCACATTAGCTTAAGAAGGATATCTCATCTAAATAAACTTGAGTTAGTTGGAGACCTACCTAAGCTGAAGTTTACTTCATATGCTCTTTGTGAAGCATGTTAGAAAGGCAAGTTTTCTAAAACTTCTTTCAAAACTAAAAAAGTTGTTTCTTCCTCTAGACCTTTGGAGATTCTACATATTGACTTGTTTGGTCCTGTTAAGACAGCACCAGTCAATGGTAAGAAGTATGAACTTGTTATCATAGACGATTATAGTCATTGGACATGGGTAAAATTTCTAAGGCATAAGGATGAGTCTCATTCTGTGTTCACTAGTTTTTGTTTAAATGTGCAAAATGAATTTAATTCTAAAATTGTTAAAGTCAGAAGTGATCATGGAGGAGAATTTGAAAACAAAAATTTTGAAGAATTATTTGACTCAAATGGAATATCCCATGATTTCTCCTGTCCTAGAACTCCACAGCAAAATGGAGTTGTAGGAAGGAAGAATGTGACTTTATAAGAAATTGTCAGAACCATGATCAATGAAACAAATGTTGCTAAGCACTTTTGGGCAGAAGTTGTAAATATAACGTGTTAGATTCAGAATAGGATTTCAATTAGACCTATTTTGGAAAAGACTCCGTATGAATTATGCAAAGGAAGAAAACCAAATATCTCTTACTTTAATCCTTTTGGGTGCACATGTTTTATTCTAAACACTAAAGAGAATCTGAACAAATTTGATTCCAAAGCACAAAAATGTAATATGTTAGGATACTCAGAATGCTCTAAAGGCTACAGAGTATACAATATAGAAACATAGATTGTGTAAGAATCAATTCATGTTAGGTTCGATGATAAGCTTGACTCAGAAAAGTCAAAGATGTTTGAAAGTTTTGCAGATCTAGAAATAATCCTTGCAGATTGTGATGAGAATGCAAAGATCTATGAAGATGAAAATATGAGAAAAAAGGATCAAGATGATGATGTATCAGAAATACAAGCACCAGAAATCACACATGTTCAAAAAAGGTAAAAACAGAGATTAACGGTCTCTGAAAAATTGATTCTGAGAGATAAAACTGAACCTGTGAAAATAAGATCTACACTCAAGAAAAATGAGGAATCACTTCTAGGATTGGTGTCTCTAGTAGAACCAATATCCCGTGATGAAGCACTTCAGGACAATGAATGGATTTTTGAAATGCAAGAAGAATTGGACCAGTTTTCCAAAAATGATGTATGGGACTTGGTACCAAAGACCAAAGGGACTCGTGTGATCGGAACCAAGTGGGTATTTTGAAACAAGCTCAATGTAAAAGGAGAAGTCGTGAGAAACAAGGCTCGACTGGCTTCACAAAGTTACAGTCCATAATAAGGTATTGACTATAACAAAACCTTTTCTCCAGTCGCCGGAATTTTATGAGTTAATGTAGGAAAATTTTGAAATGAGCTTAATGTAAGAATTAAAGTATTTTCTAGGAATTCAAATTCTTCAAACCACAAAAGCTACCTATATTCATCAGAACAAATATACAAGAGAACTTATGAAGAAGTTTAATATGTCAGAATGTAAACCTACTAAGACTCATATGTATCCCACGTGTATTCTACTGAAAGAGGGTGTAAGTTCAAAGGTTTGTCAAAAGATATATTGTGGTATGATAGGCTCTCTTCTCTATCTGACTGCTTCTCGTCCAGATATTCTATTCAGTTTATGTCTCTATGCTCGTTTTCAATCAAATCCAAGGGAAACTCATTTAACTGTTGTAAAGATAATCCAAAAATATCTGAATGGAACCTCTAACCTTGGCTTGATGTATAAGAAAATATCAGAATACACGCTATCAGGGTTTTGTGATGCAGATTATATTGGTGTCAGGATAGAATGTAAAAGCACTTCTGGAAACTGTCAGTTTCTGGATAATAACCTCATCTCCTGGTCTAGAAAAATGAAATCAATGATTGCTTTATCCACTACAGAAGAAGAATATATTTCGGTATCACTTTGTAGCACTCAGATGCTCTGATGAAGAATCAACTTGAGGATTTTCATATATATGAGAATGGCATTCCCATCTACTATGATAAACTACTCCTATCTGTCTTAATAAGAATCCTATCCTACACCCCAGAGCAAAACACATAAAAATTAAACATCACTTTATTAAAGACTATGTTCAGAAAGGGATCTTTGTTTTGAAATTCATAGATACAGACCATCAATCGACTGACATCTTTACTAAACCCTTAGCTGAAGATAGATTTCTGTTCATTCTAAAGAGCTTAAACTTGGTACTTTGTCCATAATGAATAATTTCTATTGTTTAACTTTGTTAAAAAAATTCTTTCACTAATACTTCTACGAGTTAGAAGATGTCTGTGTCAGAAATATCTTAAATCAGCAAATTTCTTTTGAGATCAATATTGTTTTTCAACAGCCATTTAAAACTTGAAAAGACACTTGTCAATTCAAGATCTTAAACTAAACTGTTGGAAATACTTTGAGCAATGAAAGATTTCCTGAGAATAGGTTAAAACTCTTTATGCTCTATCCCTATTTTGATAGGTCAAAATCTATTCTATTAAGCACACCAGACCTATTTTTGTGTCTAAATTGTCTTTTTATTTCATTTTTTACACTTGTCTTAAAAATGACAATATTCTCTGTCTTCTCTAAAGAATTTTTTCTGTCAGTCACGTTTTCTCGCCTTTTTTTTCTATTCTGTTTTCATTGTCATATCTTAATCATCAAATGGATAGTTGTTTCGTTTGTGTTTAAAAATTGCTTAGTTGTTAGTAACTTTTTGATAATGCAAAAAGGGGGAGAAAGTAGTGATGATTTTGATACATACTTATATCTCTGAAATCACATTGCTTACATTCTAACAAGAAAAAACTATATATGCAAACTATTTAGAATGTCTTTTCAGGAACATTATGCGCATCTCTGATAAATCAAGTT